TAACAGAATATTAACCCTGAAATCAGGTCTATCTTTGGATTTGGTTTAATGTTTTTACCCTTGATTTATGTGTGTGCCTTCCTTCGCATCCCATATCTCAAGCAGCATGAACATATTAAACTTTCTTAAATGTATTAAGCGGTTCTCAACCTGTGGGTCGCGACCATCGGAAAACACATATAGCGTATCAGGTATTTACATTATGATTCATAACAGTAGCAAAATTACAGTTATGAGGTAGCAACAAAAATAATTTATGATTGGGGGGTCACCACAACATGAGGAACTGTATTAAAGGGTCGCGACATTAGGAAGGTTGAGAACCACTGTAAGTGATGGAATTTAGCAAATATGTTATGGTTACCATCTTTGTTGCTAAGAGGGAATGTGGAAATCTGACAAATAGTAGAGCTTTCATTTTCAAGACCCATTTTCGAAGCAGTTTCACTAACAAGTCTCCTGATTTACCAGGCCATTAACAGAAATAAGTCTTTCTGGACAGCAGTAAAGAAGCGGATTAGCACAATTTACAGCGTTCTCAAGATACAGATAGGGAACCTACTCATACTATACAATATGTACACCATAATAGTTTGATACCTTTTTCAAAATAGCAAAGAAACATTCCTGTGACAGAGTAATACATAGACTTGCTTTTAAGACACCTCAGCTCATTTTCCACCAGCTCATCTATTACAGACAGCACCCCTCAAGGACGAAGCCCCAGGTCTCAGCACGTCTCCTGTTTGCCAACGGTGATTAGGAATTACTTAGTTGCCGACATTGTCATTGATTGAAAGAGGAAACCTTTTCCACTTCAAGCTGAGGACATGGTGCTTAGATTTTCTCATTTAAATAAAATGTTATCCAGAGACAACCCTTTGAATGTGTAACCTAGCCACGCACACTGTTCAACAAAAGAGCAACCGCAATAAGCAGAGATATCGAGGACTTAGGACACAGCTCATTGGGATAAACCTGTTTCTTTTCTTTGCAAAGTCAGGGAGGAAACAAATGTCTGCCAAGCAGAAGGAGTAATGAGAGGAGCCTGTCAGTAAGGAAGACATTCTGCTTTGGGGAAAACATTGGAAAGTTTCTTCTAGTCCATGGAAACTCTATGTTCTCTGTAATCCTTGTATTCAGAGGATCTCAACGTGATTGGGGGCCCATTACAAAGTTCCACTGTGCCTGGTAAGAGATGCCCACTGTGACAAGGGTGCCTTTCTATGGCGGTGTAAATTGCATGGCCATCCGGGCTGTGGCATTAACCTATGAATGAGAGTAAGGAGGAACAGTTACAGAGATAGGTGGGAATCCAGGTGAGGTTGTGGGAGACAAGGGGGAGGACTTCAATAAGAAGAGAGGAGACAAGTAGACCGGAGGTTGAAAAGAGGAGTGAGAGTTCTTCATTGATCTAGTGAGAACAAAGGGAGCTGTTGGTAGAGTGCTGTAGCAAAAGCCATTTGGGAGGAGAGGAAATGGTGGCAGAAGTTAGAGACATTTTTAAAAATATATTTTTTATTGATTTCAGAGAGGAAGGGAGAGGGAGAGAGAGAAACATCAATGATGAGCAAGAGTCATTGATGGGCTGCCTCCTGCATGCCCCACACTGGGAATTGAGCCCATAACCTGAGTATGTGCGTTGGCCTGGAATTGAGCCGCGAACTTCTGGTTCATAAGTTGATGCTCAACCACTGAGCCATGCCAGCAGGCTCTATTGTTCTTAATGTAGTAGATTATGTTGATTGTTTTTGTATGTTAAACCAACCTTGCATTCCCAGGATAAACAGCATCTTGTCATAATGTATCACCCTTTTTATGTGTTGATGGGTTTGATTTACTAATATTTTGTTAAAAATTTTTGTGAATATGCTTATGAAGAGTATTGGTCTATAGTTTTCTTGTAATAATTTTGCCTAGATTTATTATGAGGATGATACTGGCTTCAAGAGATCGGTTGGGAAATTTCTTTGTTCTCCATTTTCTTAAAGCATTAATATAAGGTTGCTATTATTTCTTTTTTGAGTGTTTGACATAATTCATCAGTAAAGCTCTATAAGGCTGGAGCTTTCTATATGTGAAGTTTTAACTAGAAGCTTAATTTTCTTAACAGATATAGGACTATTCTGATATTCTCTTTTACCTTGAGTCAGTTTTGTAATTCACATCTTTAAGCAAGTTGTCCATTTCATCTAAGCCATCAAATGTATTGGCATTTGTTCATAGCATCTAGTTATTATTATTTTTATTGTAGAATAATAAAGACATCATTTTATTTCTGATTGGTAATTGGTGTCTCATTTTTTTTTTAATGAAGTTGGGAGCTTTTCTCAGTTCTGATGCCTCTGTACTAGCACCCAGAATTTCCTTTCATCTCTCTATCTCTTCCTGACTCCCTGGTCTCAATCAAATTCAGCAGTGTAGACTTGTGTCTGAAATCCCCCATTGATTCCCATGTGCTGGAGTTGGGGTACACCACAAAAGCACCATGTCAGGGCAGTTTGAGAATTCAGCAGTGCAAGGTCCCTAGATAAATAAATGGCAAGAGAGTGCCACCCTACTCCACTGGGGTTCCCTGCTATCTGTGAAGGATGGATGATACTTCTGAAGAGTCAACTGGTGTATCCCACTCCTTCCTCATGCTGCCTTCACTGAGCCTCTTTTACTAGCCTGCCTTCCTTCCTGATCAGGCAGATGGATACAGGTTACTATGTTAGTCTGGGTTTCGACCAGAGGACACCCAGATAGAAGGACTTGGGGGCAGGCAGTTTATCTGGGAAGTGATCTCAGGGTGCCCAAGAGGAAGTGAAACGGGAAAGTGAGAAAAGGCCACAGGGGTGGGCAACTGGAGCTCAAGCTCACTAGGCACCTTCTCAGAGACACCTTCTCAGAGACACTGTGGAACTCACCTCGAAGCTGACCCAACAGAAGTCAGGGAGGCTGGGGTAATGTTAGAGGGTCGCCCTGTGACAGTAACTCCTCCACACTTCAGAGTGAGCTTAACAACATTCAACAAGCTCCTAGGGACTGGAGAAAGCCACCAAGCAGTAAAGAGAAATGCACGTGTTTGAGGAGGCAGATGTCTGCCATACAGGCTTGTCTACCACAGCTTCAGGTGAAGTCAGGTGGAGCTGGGCTAGGAGGAGATGGGCAGGACTTTTCAGAGGCAAATTCATGTTAGAATCAGAGATAAAAAAAAAAAACCCACAGTTTTTGACATTTACCTTTTAAGCATCTAAGGTTTGGATGCCAGACAGTAAAAGGTTTGGAAAGGCATCTGATGCTAATCTCTCCCTCACCCCCACCTCCAGATTAGATAGAAATTCTACAGGTCGGAGGAAGGCAGCGGGAGGGGAGGGAGCACATGGACAATATTGAGATGTCTCTGTACACAGCGTTCCCTAGGGAGTTCTGTGGGAGTTAAGTAAAGGCCAAGAAACTGATTGTGTCCCAGGGAGTATAAATTGCCCATCACTCATCGCCTCCTCCTCTTTGGACGGGTTCCCATGACACCCATATACTCTCCACAGGCAAGGGGGAGTCTTTATCTAAGACATTGTAAGACCCACCCAACTCATGTGGGTGCCGCTCTTTTAGAAGGCCTGGAACTTTTAAATCTGTAGAATGGGAGAGTGGTAGGATACATGTCCCGGGTCACATGGGAGGGTGATGAGAAGGGTCTCTGCCCCATAACCTGCACATGCCCCCCATCTCCTCGGCTCTCAGAGGCAGTTATCCCTTTCTGAAGAAGTCTCACCCCCCGACCCAGAGCGGTGGGCACAGACCAAGAGCCAGGTCTTACTCCTGCAGCCCTCAGAGCACAAGAGGGAAACGGCTGCTCTGGATACCCTCTCGGGGCCTCTTCTGAGTTTCTCCACCATGAGGCTTTTAGCGACTCCTCCTGGGAGAGCCCTGTGGTGTGAGCTCTCAGTCGGATGGAGCAATAAGAGAGGTGGTGCAGGTCAGGCCAAAACGACAGGGTGGCATGGGCCTGAGAGGCCTCGGGTCATGGTCATGGAGCAGAGCCACAGGAGGCATCTGAAACTCCAGGACCCTGGACCCCACTCTGAGCATTAGGCCCAACCTGTAGGGTATTTACTTGGAGGCAGCAGAATCTGCAATCGGGGGGCTGGCATGCAGGTAAACTGAGGCACAAGAAGTGACCAGGTTCAGCACTGGTACCTTGACCCTTTGCTCTTTCTCTCCTCACAGGGGCCCCTTCTCACCCACCGAAGAGGCCCTGGAGAGGGGAGGTACAATATTTCCATTTTATAGGTTGGAACCAGAGGCCCAGTGAGGGACTGCGATATGTGCACAGCCACGAGGTGAGCTCACCAAGCCTGTCTCCCTGCAGAGGATGGGCAGGAGTGGGTGTAGCACATTCTGCTGCCCAGGAGCTCTGTGGTCTTTGGCAGACACGTTACATCTCTGAGCCTCAGCTTCCTCACTTGTAAGACTATGATGATTACTCCCATCTCTGAAGGCTGCTGAGAAGCTAAAATCTGGTAGATAGTGCATGTGACCAGTGGAAGCTGGTCCACAGATGTGAGAAGCTGTTCTAATGATCACCCCCCTCTCCCCATACATTGAATTCAGTGGAGGAATGACATCTGACAGCACTCAAATCCAGCTGCAGTTGTAAGTCAGACGAGTGGTCCCCACTGTGCTGCCCCCTACCCAAAGCCCAGTCTCCAAGAAGCAAGCACTCTCGCTTGAATTGCAAAGCTTTTATTGCTGGAATCCTTTAGTCAGACACGTGGACACGGCAGTTGCAGAGACTCCTTAATGATTAAGCAAGCAGCTTCCTTGGGGCTCCTGGCAAGGATGGCTCCATTAACATAAAGGACTTGAGAATATTTTATTCTGCAAAGAGAAAGTCAGGAAACCTGGTGACCTCGGGGTAGAAGACACCAAGCTGCACGGGACATGCCCTGGGCCCGCTGAGGAGGGCCTGCAGGCCTGTTTGAAGGGTGACCCCTGGATCTGAGCAGGTAAAAGTGGGTTCCTCCCTATCTCCTGCCCCAGAAGAGAGTCCCAGGATGTGCCTAGAAGCTTCCGCTGATGGAACAGAGAGAAGGAAGGGTCACCGTGGTGAGATGGAGGGCAGTCTTGGGTGGAGCAGGAAGAGGCTGCTGAGGAGGACCTGGAGGGTCCAAGTGCACCTGGGAGTCTCCAGGAATGAGGAGCCCAGCCTACTTTGTCCTCCTGTCCTGTGGACACTTGCAGCTAAAGTAGTGGCGCTTCCATCATCACTTGGGGCAACCTGAAGTTGGGAGGTTGGAAGGGGGCTTTTGGGAGGTGCCTCCTCTCCTGGCATTTGAGGTGCAGAATGGCCCTCTGGGATCCAGAGAGCAAGGCAAATGAGGGCTTTAGTGGGAATGGAGTTGGGGACTTGAGGAGTTAAGGTAAAGGACTCAGTGCTAATGGTTTGAAGATCCAGGCTGGTGAGCTGGAGAGGCTGAGTCAGGGCCTGACACTGAGGCCAGGGGGTATCACGCAGTTAGGAGGGCCTGGAGGGTGTTAGGCTGTGGCCCGGCAGATGTGAGCGGTCAGGGCCAGCCCAAGAGCTCAAGGGCTAGACTGAGCCTTCCCAGCTGGCCCTTCCCCACACCTTTGGTGCCCGCCCATCCTCTCCACCTCCTCATTCAGGGAGCTCTTTTTCCTCCTTGATTCTCAGGGAAGAGCTATATGGAGAGGAGAGATCTGAGCAGACCCCAGACAGGCCTCACGCACACACACACACACACACACACACACACACAGCCAGACCCACCAGCACGGTGACGGCATGCTCCTTATCCTCTTCTGTCAATTTCTGATCAATGCAGTCCTTCAGTTTCCTGGCATTGGCCAATATTAAAGAGTTGTTTTGGTATTTTTCCACTTGCGCAACATATTCTTCTGGGGTTCCCGTCAGGAATATGGTAACATCTTTTTTCACGGGTGGGCAAATGTCACAATCTGAAACATAAAGCAAGCTGACACTCTCCTGAAAGACACTCTTGAAAACACACTCTTCCCTTACCCCCCAACATGCTTAGGACTGCCCGGGAGGCCTTAAAACCCTGGAGAATCCATGTCCCCAGGAACACACTTCCGCTGGAGATCAGGAGCGAGGCAGCCCAGAGCAGCGTAAGGGCACCAGCCCCCATCATGGTGCAGTTGGCAGGTGCTCCCTACCTACCCTAGAGCCCTTTTATACTTGCTGTTGGCCCCACAAAGCGGGGTGGGGACGGAAGGGGCCTGTATCTGATGCCTCCTTTTCCAGGAGGTTCTGCCAACGCCATTCCCAGGCCATAGCTTGGAATTCCCTGGGGCTGTGGAGGTGGGAAGTGTATACTTTGGCGAAATCCTAAGTCACCGAGTCAACAAAGGGCACTGGCTCAGCCTCCCTCCCCCTCTCCCAGGGCTGTCTGAGGTCAGCTGACACTAAAAACTGAAGAACTGAAATTTCTTAGGTTGACTAGGAAAAGGGGCAAAAAGGTCCCCAAATCAGGCCTCCTGAGGGATGCCCAGTGTCAGCCTGTCACAACTGCCCGTGTCCTTGCCGGCAGTCTGGTCCTCACTAAGGATTTCTCAGGAAGCTCAGTGCTTAGCTGGCTTCACAGCTAGTACCGGCCAAGGGAAGGCCAGAGCACAGGCCCCAGGTCAGGCTCTCTGGTGACTGCTGCCTCCCCTGATCTCGTCACAATGTCCTTGACATGCTCAGTGGCCCCCCTTGGGCCAGTCCCCTGAATCTGTTTCTGAACCCTGAATCCTCCCCTACATGCTGGCCCAGAAGTCCTAGTTGTCTGTAGACCAAGTCTGCCACCTGCTTACTTTGATAGCACCTCAATCTGACAGAAATGTCATTTCCCCCCCAAACTGCTGCTTTTGAGTTTCTCTGTATCACTCACATATCATTTCTCTAGTCTAGAGCTACAACCCAAGGAAAAGCCATGCCCGCTGTGGCCCACAACCCCTGTTTGATTTGTACACTTGCCCCCTCCTCCCTGCCCTGCTGCCTCTCTAAATGTATCTCTGTGCTTCTCTCCTCCCTCACCGCCCCCATCCTGCTTCTGGGCCTTATCAAGCGTCCTGCAGGGGCTGCCCTCACTGCCTGCAAAGCTCTTTCTCCAAGCGCAGCACGATTCATGGCCCAATTCCTCAGGTCACTGCAACTGTCACCTTATCAGAGAGACTCCCCCACACTCTTGGCCCCTTCTATAAAAGGGGACTCTCTACCATAGCACTCTGTTCTCCCCGACTTATCTTCCTCCATAGCACTTCTTGTCATTATGGCTTGTCCTCCACTCCCTCTTAGATGTCTGATGAGCACCAAGAATGTGAGGGCGTTGCTGTGCGTGCTGCCACATCTGTAAGACTGGGACCTGGGCTGACACACAGTAGGTGCTTCACCAATGTTTATTGGATGAAGGGAAGGGATATCTCATCTCTCTGGAATCTATATAAATAGGAACACTTCACTTATATTTGCTATATATGTGCTTATGAACATTGCCTGGGATTAATTAAATAAGATAAAGGTTTGAAATGTTTTGATAAGTCAGAATTAAGAAGCTTTTTACTGGAATAACGTTTTCTGAAGCCCAGAGTTGAAGACAGGACATGTTTTCTGACCCCAGTCAGAACCCTATGCCAAACAGGATTCATATCCGGTAACTGCTCTTGGCAAAGAGGCACCAAGTACTGAGCTCCAGCTGTGGATTGGCCCCCACAGAGCCTTTCCTTGCCATGGCTACTGATGCCCAGGGCCTGTCCCTCTGAAGATCACCCCATGAGGGCTCAGGTCACTGATGTCCCTCGGAGGCTCCTGGGCACCTGTTAGCTGAGAAAGTAAACACTGCATGCCCTTGGCTGCACAGGTGGCTCTTTCTCTACCCAGAGCAGTTTCCGCATGGTGGGACACCTGGGCGAGAACCACATGTCCGGTCCTGCACAGGGAGTTCCTGCAGTCCTCCCCCCAGCTCTGCGAGCTGATGTCGCCCAGCCCCAGGGTGGGTGCCACAAGGCCCTCTGAGACATCTCCAGATGGTGGGGACACTTGTTTCCTTGTCATGGCCTTGGCTGTCATGAGGCTCACTGGCCAGGTAGTGTGGAGTGGCTCCGGAGCTGAGTTTGTCTGCTGCTCTCCTCATAATTTAGACTGGGGTTTGGGCTTTGGGTTCTTGGGAAGACAGCACAGAGGTGGCGTGCCGTTCTTGTCACAGCCGAGCATCTGTAGTATCAATGTCTCATCACTGGTTTAGCCTTGGACCCTTGATAATGTCATTTTTGCCAGGTTTCTGCACTGTTTTCCCCTTTCCCAAAAAATGGGAACGAGTTACTCAGTCTGGCCCCTCTTAAGGGGGTGAGGGTGGTACGCGCCACCTCCTGGGCGTGGGTCTGTCGATTGCTTGGAGTCTTCTGTAAGGAGCATTTCTCTTCTCCCCCATTGCTTTATTTATTCAATCCTTTACATCAGGGTGGACTCGCATCTATTACTTTATACTTTGGACTATAATTTTTTTTTTAAAATATATTTTATTGATTTTTTACAGAGAGGAAGGGAGAGAGATAGAAAGTTAGAAACATCGATGAGAGAGAAACATCGATCAGCTGCCTCCTGCACATCTCCCACCGGGGATG